TTCATTAATTAGCCTATATTTTTCATATCATAGTTATTTGTTCAACTATTCATTTCTTTTTTTTATTTTATGCATGCAACCACCAGCAAACGATGTTTACAAATAGCGCCGGAAGTTTTAATGAAAGGTCGTATCTGCCACATACGACTATTCAAATTCAATCACTAAGAAGAGATAATGTATGTGCCACTTACAACCTTTCATATCGAAGGGTTGTAGATAATACAAAATAATATTTTGTGTTACCATGGTAACTATATGGAATATAACCTCTATTTTTTGAAAGAAGATGAATTTAATGTTCGCATATTGAAAATCAAAAAATCACAATAAGGTCGTAAGTGGCACTTACGACCTTACAATTCCACGGTGTCGATTTCTTAATGCATTTCCTATGTAAAATGTTGATAAAAGGGACCTACATAAATTTTCACCATAATATTTCTTCAAAACCCATTTCATACAGTTTTTGTATTATATACATTATTGTATCTTCATTTCCTATGACTTCTAGATATTTTGGCTGAAAATGTATATATAGAAACAAGATATGGAAATACCGGCACCGATCATCATTTTTGAGTTGCGTCCCTTAACAGCTAAAATTGGTCAAGAGACTGGTTGATTGTTTTTATCATGTAATTGACTGAATTGATTGAAACAAATTGTCATAAAAATATTGGCATGAATTTATTTTTAACTTTTATTCGTAGTTACTAAATGCTGATTCCTTCACACGACCTAAGAACTGTTCTCAGTCGGCATGGTTGACCTACCTTTTAGCATGTCACATCTTTGTCCTTCCCAGCATACTGAGCATAACTATGGTATATAACGACCTGTTGACTATTTGTCCCTGAATACAATGTACAACAAAGCCATTACTACTTTTCTTTCTTGTAGATGATTCTACCTGTTGAAGGAAGTACACGTGCTTTTGTTTACCTCTGTAACATACGCTTTATTGGTTTTCACCCCTTAGAGAATTCTACACGGGAGATCACTCTCAATCACTTTTTATAAGTGAAAAAAACCATGTATTAAACCTTTTTTCTCTGGAAAACCCTGACTTGCCAATGTCCTTAAAATATAACTAAGTTCCATATATCAAAATACATGTAATCGGTTTGATTTCAGTTTTGCTCATACACGTCAAATTACGTCATCTAATGCATTTTGCGTTTTTTACTCGTAAAAGTTCTAATATTCAGCAACATATATCCTTTTAACAGTTATAATAAAAAAAATGTAGTGAAAATTCTTAGCTCTCAGATTATTTTTGTTAAATTGCGTTTGTATCTTGCGTTTCCTGTAATTGCTTTAGGGTTCTTCAATTTGTATTGTAAAAGTAAGTGCATATCCATATACATGTACTTATAATTCCACTTTTTTTTTAATTTTTGGGGATAACATTGCATATCCAAGAGACACACAGTCATTTATTTCAATGGGGACAAGCTCATTTGACCTGCTTGCTGATTCACCTGCAAAAACTGTCTCAGCATGAGGTCAGTGATGTACCAGGAACAGATAATTTGTCCGGATATTGCTGAACCTTTTGGTTGGGTAGGAGTCTTCTCCACAATGGGCAAAACCACAGCAGCTTTGTATGGACTTGGAATCTGATGTGTCGCTTGTTTGTCTAAATTCTGTTGTTGTACCAAAATTTGTGTAGCTTATTCAGCAAAATTAATCGAGACTTGGTTTGACATATGAGTGACATATGAGCCCATGTTTGTGACTCGCAGGCTCCTGTCTTGTTGCTTGAGCTGCATCGACTGGACCTGCTAGGTTCAGGCTTCTGAGACATAGTTGATATTGATGTGGATGGTTCTACCATTGTATTCCTAGGGGACTGAATCCTCCTCCCTCTCCTTGTTTTCCCTGGAAGGCATTGTCGTTGAAAATAATCAAACAATATAGTTCATGCATATTTGTCTAAACCTTTTATAGTAAATTGTTTATCATTGATCTGCCTACTGTATTAGCCGATCTCCTAAACAGCACGTAGCAATTTACATTGAAATCTACAGTCGCATTATCAACTTCTAAACCCAATATACAAATATCTAACGGAAATCAACTAAATACCTCACATCAACAACAAAAGAGTACTAAGAACTCACAGGAACACTCATTCTTTGAAGTACCAGAATAAAATAAAAACAACCTTGATTAAATATAATTATCCGTGTAGCTTTACCTAATCACTAAACTTCATCTGATCCCACCTCAGAAGGTTTAGAGGTCCGTGATTTGTATTGTTTGAATGGACTTTTGAGTTTGAATACTGTTCGTTATCTCCATATATTTCATGGATAACCACAATGATTAGTTAAATATAATTTCTGTACTTAAGTCATATCCGAAAGGTCGCCGAAATATGTCTGAAATATTGCCGCCTCGGAGTTAAACAATAATAATCAATTAATTAATCATATCCAAAAGGTACATATACATAATCTCTGCACCAAAACAAAAATCAATATGGGTAACTCCGACTCAAAAAGGCACATATCAACTGTGTACCAATAATATATGGAGAAAACGAACAGTATTCAAGCTCATAGTCATAAACCTCCAAAAACATCAGAGGCGTGATCAAGTGCTATGGAGGACTTAGCATCCCCTGTCGACCAGTCACACTCGTCGTGTGCTCCTTGTCATGATCTAGCAAACGGAAAATCCGTTGAAATTTTAGTGTGTAGTAATGGCCTAACAATTAGTACAAAAAACGTCAGTCAGCATTTGACCTAATGATTTATGGTAAGTATTTGCTTATAAGGTCATTGTTTCGACCATAGAACTTGCAAAGTGATGACTTCAACCGAGGTAATTGATATCCTTGTTTCATCAACTTATTGGTTAATAGCTTGCCTCCCTTTGACAATTGATCGTACGCAGAGCATGCTCCTGCGTATCGAATCAACTGGGAGACAGAAACCCCATATGCATGTGATAAGGATAAAACATGCATTGCCACATAAGTAAGAAAAGTTGACGATAGAAACGTTAAAGTCATCACGTTTATCATAAAGTTTTGTTGTTAGGTTACCATTTACGTCTTTTGCGATTGAAATATCCCAATATGGAACAGATTTGTCAGACTCTGTGATGTCTTTTATTTCAAGTTCACTAGGATATATTGAATTAACATATGAATGGAAGTAACTATTGTTAAGTGATAATATGTCGACGATATATCTTAATGTCTGTTGAAGGCCACAGTAAGTGTTTTCTTCTTCTCATGTATAGTTTTTAAATAAATTCTGATTCATTACTGATGTCCCGAAGGAGAATTCGAGGGGTTCCAACCGTTCTGCCAGAGCCTGTGTCCCTTATAGAATCTACAGATTGACACCTCATTTATTCTGGGCGCCGTGTCATCCAGTATGGAATCGTTTATCTTTTCAATATTCATAGTAGAATATAAAGTATTCTAGGAGACAAACTCCACCAGCAGAAATTCATGCCCGGTGTTAAAATGAAATAGGTGAAGATAACAAACATTGACTGATCTCAAAAACCTGCAAACAATAGAAATCAATGAATATGGCATCAAAACCGTACTCCTGGATATTTCGTTATCTTAAATTCCTATTTTTATGGTTCACATGGTTCAGAGGAATATCCAGTATAGAAGTAGAGCAAAAAGACACATAAAATTTGTTCGAAATACACTTAAACGCATGTTGTTTATAAAACAAGACAACACCAAGGTTGAACATATAATCATAACTACAAGATTGTCAATTATTCTTTTTATTTAAACAATAGTTTATTCACAATAGTAAATGGGATCGGGTACCAGGCTCAGGCTATTTGAATCCTCTCCCTATGTCCAGATGTTAGCTATATATATAAAATGTTTAAAAACAAGTTAAATTTGAAATATTTTTTTTACATTTGTTTAATTTATGACAAAAAACATTTGTAAACATACTCCTTAAAGTTGCTATATTTAATGATATACGTACGCAAAATATACTTTAAAATTTATGTTGCAATTGTACTTTTGTGGTACATCTTTAAGGTTAGAAACATATTTTGTACTAACCTTGCATTTGTTGAGAGAGAGAGAGAGAGAGAGAGAGAGAGAGAGAGCTGTAATAAAATGGCTTTTTGGAGTTTAAACAAATTCTTATTGTCTTATCGAATATTTCCATTTCAATATCAGGCTGTAAATTTATTGTTTAACAACAACAACAACAACAACCCTAAAAAAAAAAACCAGCAACATGAGCAGCAACATATAAAGGAAGCAAAAAAACAAAACAAAACAAAAATAAATAAAAGAAAGACAAAAACACCCCCCCCCCCTAAAAAAACAAATTAAACTAACAAACAACAAATCTTCAAATTATGATAAAGAAGGTTGAGAGGGTAGGATTCCACTCTCAGTCTTGGCAGAAAAAAATTCGGTGAAAGATCGCGTGCGTTTTCCAACATACTACAAGAAAAGTTGGGAACATAAGATGAAAATTTTTATACAATTTTAACAGATCACAAAAAGGGATTACTTTACTTACCGTATACGTAATTAATGATAATGTAGGTTTAAAAAAATATGTGATAATTATACGATAAAATAAATACCAACACTGGTAGAAAATTATAGATAGACAAATCTAAACTTAAAATGAGCAAATTGTTTTTAGAGTCTTTCAAACTTGGGAAACTAATTGCTCTTAAATGATCAACGATATTTTAAAGGTTTAAAATAGCTGATGAAAATGAAATCTTTTACAATGAAAGCTCTGAATATTGGTAGTCTCTATCTATTCAGTCTATAATTTGACTGGCAGGTCTCATTTATCATGCCTTAATAAGGTTAATGAACTTTTGAATATATATTTAAAAAGAAAATGATAATTGTCATTTGGTTTTCATTTATCTTTTCTGTCCAAAGTTTCTCAGAAAAAATTACTCAACAAGGAAATGCTTTCAAATGCATTGATTGGTGGACGTAGGTACTCTGACAGTATATAAGGCATCAATCTCGATCATCTAGTTATCTGCAGATTACTAAATCAAAATGGGAAAACTTCTCGTTGTATTAACTGTTCTCTGCATGGTGGCCCTGACGACTGGTAAGTGTACTTTCTAAGTTTTACTCTCTCTCTCTCTCTCTTTCTCCTGAAGTTATGTTTCTTTTTCCCAGTAAATCTGGTTTTCGTGTCATTTCATTGAATTATATTCAAGTTTGTAAAAATGAAAGTCAGAAATACTTAGGATTATATTTTCAATAATTTTCAAGCCTCTTTAACCAAGGGAGCCTTGGTTAAAGGGGCTTGAAAATTATTGAAAATATAATCCTAAGTATTTCTGACTTTCATTTTTACTTTTTAAAAAAACTAAACTATACATATCTAATTAAATGTTTCATATATCATGAATAAAAGAAAGGTAATTTTATACAATGATGACAGTTTATAAACTTTTATATCTAGTGTTGGTCTGATTATTCAAATTAACACCCAGAAGTCTTCATGGTGGCTAAATGATTCACTGTGCTTTTAAAAAACTATGCTTATAAGAATAACATTACTGCTAAATACGATCTCTCACGGTTGCAGTTTACAAGAATTACATTTTCTTCCTTTTATTTTTCTATAAGATCCTTAATAAAATTAAATGAGATTCTTTTTCTCAAGAATTCACTCGAAAGCGCATGAATAGGCATGATTAACGGTTTTTCCTCCGCAGATTAAATAGCAACAATTTGGTGTTTTATAACAACAATAAATTATATAATTATTAATTAATTTAATAAATAAATGAATAAATAACATGCTAATCACTTGAGTTAAATTTTCAATCTACAGATAATTATATAAATATTGAAGAATTGGAAATGTAAATATTAATTCTACATATTTTTCTTAATTTCAGCCTGGTTTCCTTTTGGAAACAAACAATGCGACTATCAACGCGTATGTTATCATAATTCCCATTGTTACCGAGGCGAATTTTGTGAAATGATGCCCTACTATCCACAGGGGCAAGGGTACTGCTGCCATCCCCGTGAGTATTTGTCTATGTTTCTGATTAATATATCAATGAATGTTTTATGTTTAAACTCTTCATAATAATTGTCTTTACTCTTAAAATTCCTGGTTTGTCAAATGTTTGACAAATCCCTTGTAATCATCTTTCTGTTAATACTTGTAGAATGAAGTTTTGACTATCACTTATAAATACAGTCCTATTGCAATATTAACTGAAATGTGAAATACAATCAATGTATATTACAGTTCGTCATAGACGGTCTTATTAGGACAAAAAATGGAAAAAAGCAGATCACTGGCTAATGGACACAGCAGCCTGTAGTTTTAAAGAAAAACAGCTTGAATGATCGATGTTCAAGCAATTTATAATTGAAGTATTTAAATAAAATCTTTCATCTAATTTTAACTCTTTATTAAAGGATTTTCTATTGCATAAAATACAAAATATAATTTTTGTTCATCTAATGCGATTAGTATAAGTGCATGAATTTCTCGGGTAGAAGCAGAGACATGATTAATTAATTATGCATCTTGTAGAAGTAATTTTGTTTCTTAATTGTCGAAATCAAATGATGTTTTAGATAAAAAAAAGTCTATTTTCTAAAAGAGAATTTACAACATTTTCTATGGTTAAGATTTTTCTCGAATCGTTTCTTTTTGATAACCAGGTGCCCGTCGCCAATAATTGTCATTATCCTGAATAATTTGTCTGCCACCAAAATCTGCACAAAAACACAGGAAATGCAAAATATATACAAGATATGTAAACATCGCCAAGCTCCTCGATTACAGATGACGTAAGTGTCCTGACAATATTAATCGGCATTTAAATATCAATGCATAACTTGTCCTGGAGTAATGGATAAAGTTACTTTAAAATATTCCTGTGATGTCATTATTTTTGTTCTTGCAGTCTAAAAATTTACCTTTGGTAGTCCGATATAAGTGAGCAGTCTGATATTAATCGTAATATCAGACAGTCTCAGTAATGATATCCATCAAAATTGGACTGTTACTGAACAAAAGTTATTTAGCAAACAGCAAATTAGTTAAACTTCAGATATACAATGATGACTTTGAAACAGAATATTGATCATACAGAATTGGAAAATTTAAACTTAAACTTCCAGTTAAACCGAATATACTGTAACAGAAAGACAGAAAATGCGACTGATCTCATCATGCAAAAAACGTGTCTTAAGAAATGTTTCAACCCCCTTGACGTACAAAAGATCGTTTCGCTGGTTTTCGAAAAAGAGTAGCCAGCTACATGTATAGGCTCACTGGGGACCGCTAGAGAAGCCCGAGAACTATATATCAAAAACTGGTCATAAGAAATAATCTTTACCGTCGAAATATGAATGAAACACTGCAGATTAGGCGTTAAGCAATATACATGTACATGTACAATCAATTAATCAATCTTTTAGTGATGACCATATGTGACAAATTCCCCTATCAATGTTGAATAATTATGATCGGAAGTGCTTAACCACTATAAGCAGAGTTGGCTGGTACATCTCTCATTTAACTAAAGAAGAGTTTTACTGCTGGTTACATAAATGATTCATTAATCATGCAATCTTTTTAAAATTTATTTTCAGTGTCTGTAATTGAAAATAAGACCACTCCATTTTTTTTCTCTGTTTAGCATCAACCTATCATTCAAAACCCTATCTACCTATTGAAAAAAGAACAACATGCAAGCCCAAAAATTAGACACAAACTTTAGAGACGTAAAAAGAACAACATTCAAACAATTTGATTTCATTATTCTATTTTTCTCTTAGAAAGATGAATATTTACAAAATCAAGGTAGTATACGATAATTAAATACTTAATTTCTCAGATTCTCTACATATTTTGAAAGAAATTAACAGAATTCAAAAGTTTTCATCATAATAATCAATTCCTGAATTGCTGATTATGTTCGTTTTTCTGCTCTGGGTGACAAAAACCAAGGCACATGGTGACGCTAAAAACAGAAAAAATAGAATGACCTTATATACCTTCAGTATCTGCTTTATTTTCTGTGGTTGTTCAATTCAAATCAAAGTTCACATTTGGATTTTCCTTTCCATTCTAAAAATATCAAAAAGCAATATTTTAAGTACGATATATGCCTCATACAACATATCAGGCAGTTTCTGGCCATAAGGGGCCTAAACTGTCTGATATTTTTTTCAAACAGAACTGTATTCGGCATATATAAAATGCGTATATCAAAACGGAGGAATTTGGTTCGACCCCAGGACTTAAGCTTGTAATGCATTTTTTTAGAATCACTTTTATTCAACTTTTCTTATTTGAAAATAGATACATTTGATACCATTACATATATCAGAAAAGGTAAAATAAAACTGCTATGTTATAAAATAAGCAGATTATTCAATAAAAAGATACCGGTACAGAAGAAAGATAACTGAAAGGCCGCTGAAAAGTACCTGCCATCAAGTCGACTGAACGGTAACTGATAAATCATGAAAAGTCACCGACAGGTTCCTTCCAGTGACATTTCAGTGACCTTTCAGGGGGCAATCAGTAACCATTCCGTTGACTTTCTAAAGAAAGTCCGGGTATGATATAATTGCTATCCTGGACCGTCCGTCCGTCTGTCACACTTTTTTCTTCCTCAAACTACTCTTTCATTTTAAGCAATAGGGAACTCAACTTTTGGAAAATGATTGGTGGTGCCTTGAACATGTGCAAAACGATTTTAAAATTTTCATTTCCACCTTAGGGGCTAAATGGGGGTTAAAAAAGAGTGATTTTCTATAAAACCTGGTTCCTGAACTCGGCTTAGATTTTTCACAGAGGCCGAATCATATTTTGAAATATGATTGAGAGTGTAATGTAGATGCTGTAGATGTGCAATAAGGTTTCGGAATTTTAATTGTCACCCTGGGGGCGATTGAGGGCCCCAAAACGACGTTTTTCTGCAAAATCCTGGTTCCCTAAACTCCTCTTATAATTGTCATCAGTAACAAACTCATCTTTTGGAATATGATTAGTGGTGTCCTGTAGATCTGAAATGAGGTTTCAGAATTCTGATTTCTCACTATGGGGACCAAATGGTGGTCAAAAACACTGATTCTTTTTTTTTTTTTTTTTTAAAAAGTATAGTTCCCTGAATTTCTCTTACATTTTTCACAGTAGATCAACCATAATTTGGAAAAAATCTGAGTGCGTCCTGTAGATGTGCATTTAGGTTTCGGAATTTCGATTTCCACCTTGAGGGCGACTGGGAGTTGAAAAACGACTTTCTGTTAACAGAATTATTTTGGCTTCTTCCCTTGTTACCCAAATAAGAAGGTAAGTACATTAAGAGGCAAACGCCAAAGTGCTGGTATTACTGTTTTAAGACAGCATCTAGTAACAAATTGATGTTTTTATATATCGTTCAAATACTCTTAAAAGTTGACACAATTTGATCATTTTTAAACTAAAACTGGTGAAAATTTGACTTATTTAACTTCAAACATTGTCTATGGAATTGAATGTACGCCATGCGGACTGATTTATATTGGGGAAACAAAAGGTTCACTCAATAAAAGAATGTTGGAGTGTAGGTAATTAGGTATGAAATAAATAATGGGGGTAATTAACATCTTTATAATCATTCATAATCATTATAACCCTGACCACTCTATTCTTTCAATGAGGGTTAGAATTTTGGAGAGAGAAAAAAATGAAGTACTCCATTCCATTGACAGCAAGAAGAATACTGGATCAGGAAACTAGGCACAGTCTTTCCGTATGATTGCAGGACGACATAAATAATGTAGGAATCTTTTAAACCCACAATGTACCAATGTGAATGTGATGGGCCTTTTTAACAATACACCCAGACATAGACGTAGTCATGGACATCAATCATACAATAGGCCAAATATACAAGTACATGTTGTCTCTTTTGATTCACTTTTGCCTTACGTCAATAAAAACAATTAGGTCTTCATCACATTACTAAATATTACTCGGTTCCATTGAAATTTTTGAATGGATTAGGAGCTTGAAGAAGCTAAAGGAAGCTAAAGGAAGTCCCTACTTAGATTCTTCAACTGCAGGATAAAAACTAGTGTTTGTGATTATAAATGTTTCCCAGCATATGCTCTTTAAGCCACCACGTGTGTCGGAAGATAATTCTGACTCAACCCGTCAATTCCTTGAACTTGAATTTGCCAACAAAGGAATAGATACAATGAACATCACAAATATTCCTAATCATAAAAAAGTTCTGTCTTCCATTCCATCATATTTCACTTTGAAGCCTACACCTGCAGTTCCTACAGATATTTCTAAACTATTGCTTCCAAACTTTTCGGTTATAAACAAACCCTACAGTGCCCAGATATTTAAAACATCAAAAACGAAAACCTCCTAATTGATCTTGCTCTTCTTCTTTTCTTCTTTCAACAACAGTCCTACTGGACACGTCATCACCGGTGATGTTAATATAATAGTTGAAAATGAAGACCTAAGAACAATCAACTTAAATGGTCCTAATACAGGGTGCCCCGGTCTTTCAAATGGCGACAGAACTTTATTTCTATTGTCAATTCTGCCGAAGATTATGCCAGACGTTGGGATAAATATGAAAGGAAAGTCCTGGATAATTTGTAAAAATGAATTAAGTGTTTAAGAAATATATTAAAGAACTGCATTAGAAAAAATATGAGACAATATGCTAACCATCTATCCTTCCGTTTTCAGTAAATCGGAGGTAATAAAAAAAATTAGAGAGACTACGTGAACAATATGCTATGGTTCCAGCTGACAAGGCTTGTAACAATATCGCCTTTGTCTGTAAGGCTCGTTATTGTAACTGTATTTTAGAAGAACGTGGTTTTAATTCTACGTCTTGAAATCCAACATTGATCACAGTATAAAAGTGAAAAAGTCGTACGTTTTGATATTATTAATTTTGGTAAAATTTTGTGATTTCAAATAGTAGCCACATCTGAATACCACCACTTCTCGAATATGTCACTGTACAGTACTCTTGAAGTTTCTCCTTCTTTGCTACTAATATTTTGGTGAGGACTTTTATGTAGTTTAGGAATCCAGTACAGCTATGGTAATTCAAATTCAATTTGATTGTTGGAAATATTATATTTAAAATATTTCAAAGTGGCATATGATTTTGAAGAATTTCAATATTTGAAAGGGAACTATGAGTATAATTTGGATAACCACCTGCAAAATTGAAGCCAAGTTCCTCTAAAATACAATTATAACCCCCCTCCCTCCTCAAGAAAAGCGAAAATTATAATAGCGCCCTATATTTACATGGGCGACTCTTCTACGTGAATAGTACCGTTCACGGTAGCTAAGTCGGTAGAGCGCTCGCTCCGTGATCGGGAGGTCGTGAGTTCGAATCTCGATAAAAAATGGGTAGCACTTGTT